GGATAGAAGAATAAAATATTGGTCGAAGGGTTAGAGTCGATGACTTCTAATCCAGTTACCTCTCTAGCGTGGGTTCGATCCCCGGGAGATGCTTTGGTAGTTTAGCGCGGAGGAAGGTAGTCTAGTACTGGTGTAACTCTGGTTAGGAAACTACCCGCCTATATGGCTGAAATACTGTTGGGAAAGGCGTAAAATGAAACAAACAAACAATTTAACCGTACTAATTTTATGCTTCATCAAAACATTTAAGATGTAAGATAAGATGAGATATTAAGATTTTTATTGGCTTGCGATATTACCTCAAATTTAGATTAATTTTTTTGATTATTATACAGAACAAAACTATAGTTGATCATCTGAAATGATAATTAAAATATAATTGCTTGAAAGTCAGTTTAAGATAATCATTTAATTGTACGCTCATTAGTTGTAAGTTAGTTAGTTGTAATTCTTTTCAATTGAGAAATAAATAACAAAAAAGCACAAATTTATATAAATTTCTGTGTCTCATTGACATTCAAATAGAATTGTTAATGAAATAAAGGATACAAACAAATGTTATAATCCTAAAAAAAAGAATCATTTTAAAACAATTGTTTTTAAAATGAGAATAACAAAGAAATAAGAACATGTTATCATAAGTTAGTTACTTTCAAATTAAATGCCAATATATCTAAGAACACAGGCCGCGAGTAAAGATAATCAAAGAAAATTGCCAAAGGATTAAGTGTTTCTGAAGAATGTTTAATCAAATTCGGGATAGCTTTGTCTTTATCATGGTGTATTTCACCACTACGATCTATTTACTGCTGGAACGGACAACACATTCTTGGATATTTTGGTTTTCATTGCAATCATGCACCTGTTTGTAATTGCTAAAGATATGAATGTGAATAAATCAGTTAAATTGTGATAAGTTATCACTTGTCACAGAGTACTTTATTTCCTGAAGGCACATTAAACCTTCAATTTCAATTTGATTACTTATTGCTGCGCAGTGGTATAAGTGAAAGAGCCGATACATTATTTCGTCATGGAAATATTTATCTCCTTGAGGCTAATTTTAGTTTGGATTTGATTGCTGCATAGCGATATGAAATTCCGAATGTAGACATTTGTTTTTATAACTGTTATCTGTTGGCAATGATACACTTCTTGGAAAAGTAAACCATCGGAAACATGAATTGCAACAAAATTACATGACAACTACAGACTCGGTTGATTGAGTCTGCGAGTGAGGGATACGGACGAAGTACAACATCCCTCACGCTTTCGAAAACCGACTTGAGTGGTACTCAATTTTCAACACTTAATGTTCATTGAATTTCTTCGATTCTGACAATAAAAAAATGTGTTTCGTTTTAAACAATAGTCTGTTTGTTCAATCGAATTATTTTTTCGATAACTATAATAAAATTTCTCCATATATAAAACAATCATTTCCATTTAAACTCTTTCAACAAGTAAAATGTTATTGAAATCCAAGCGTTTCCAGATACATCCCGAAACTGTTGTTGGAAAGGTCAATATGAATTGGAAAAATACAGAATATCTAAAGAACGCGCCCAAAACGATAACAATGAAAATGCTGCAGGCTCGGCTTGATTGAGCCTGTTCATAGGCGGGACTGGAAAATGCAAGTTACTGTTCATAGTACTTTTTAGCACAGGCTTAAACAGAATGCAATATTTAAACTCGAAAATGGTGAAATTTTAAATCTCGAAACTACAGCAGATGTGTTCATACGGCGGTTATCATGGAACCTTAATTAAATATAAAACTTCGTGTCATTACATGAAAAGCGGCGTATGGCCCCTCAATAAAAGAAAGCGTGTGCCCTAAACGAGAAAACAATGGACTGAACTTAACAAAATGGAATTTTGAAGGGGGGTCAGAGGTTATGATGCCTGCATAGTACAGATGAGACGTTAAAAGACAAATCTAAAACGCAGATACCATGCCCAAAGGGTGATTGTACAGTATTCAAATAGGAATACTGTAACCACCTAAATTGAAAAAGGTCGAATAGAAGAAACTATATATACCAAAAATTTCGAAACAGCGATTGAAAAGATCAAAAGACAGTTTATAGTACGAGATAGTTTTCATGTTCTAGAAGCCATCTTTGTTCATTTTAAATGACAACAAATAAGCAAAATGTTGTGAAAATAGTTTATTACTGGTTAATTAACAATATTTTCATATAACAATTATAGCAATTGGCAGGATATTCATTGTACAATGTTATATTTATATAGCTATATATTTCAAAACAAGCAATATATAATAATATGTTCAAATACTGATTAATCATCTAAAGCAGTATGAATCAGAATTGTGATTTTCTTGGAATTATTTTCAAATATTCAGATATAAAGACTTAACCAAACTCAAGGCACTTTACTTTCATAAAAATGATTAAAAAACGTCACAACATAGCCTTTTTTCCGTTTGTAACCGAATAGAGTCTTCAGTAATGTAATCATATTTTTCTCCAGCAAACATGCAAAAGTGTCACTTGGCTTGTCTAACATTTGCCTACAGATATATATTTTGGCTATTACTGTATTTCTTTAAATATTGTTTACTTATTCACATGCATTTAACTTTTACACTTCCCTTTCTACCAAGGTAGCAGCTTTAAAATTATGAGGAAACGTTTAGCTATCTTTTTCAAAACCTGCCTTTAAACGAAGCTATATTAAGATTTTTCTATAGTTGAACGAAACTTTAATCTTGAAATTGCATGTGACTGCCAAATCGAGACCCACTGTATATCAAATAAATATCATATAATAAACTGAATGCCTGAGATTTCATTATTATATTTACCAATACAATATAAGTTGGCTATTGTGGCGAGCTTAAATTTAGAATGTTGTATAAACGTTGTATTAAGAATATTCATTGAAATGTTAATCATCACTCTAAATCAATTTGCTGCATGTGACATGTAAATGCTACTTTATGTTGTTCATTTCTTTTTCTGTTTTTGAAAAGTATTAGGAAACAAATCGTAAAAATGAAATAATCTCATGATTTGTTGTCAGATAAAAGGAAACGAGTAAGATTTTCTTACTAATAAAGGACGTGTCAAACTTATAATGATGAATGTGGAATTATTTGCAAAAGCCACGTTTTCAACAATGCAAAATACTGACAACCATTTCTATATTAAGTAAAAGTCATAGGAACAAAAACGATGTAACGGTTGATAAGGCAGGATATTATTTGATGATGTATGTTATACTTATACGCTAATATTAAAAGTCAAAACAATAATTCAATATTATGATTGAATATAATAATATATACAAACTAAACAATCACAGAGCATGTATATCACGATAAACCAGTGGAAAACTTGTTATGGAACTGGTTAAACCATCAAAATAGCTGAAAGCACGATTTTAACAGGGCAACTGCAATGCAATGTTTTAACAATTAAAATAGTACCATATTTGACTGCATGGGAAAAAGTAATAATTTGAAAAGTATAATTTCAATGACGTTGTCTATACAAAGGATATGTACATTAATTAATATTGCTTACATTTTATTGTCTGATATAAGATGTAAGATGTAAGTTAAGTAAGTTAAATTCACAGGCTACGTGTAAATGTATTTGTCAGACTTAATTAAAATTTATACAGACCAGCTTAGAGATAAAACGAATTTTAAGAAAACTGAGGAAAACATGGTACTATTATCAATGATATGCCTTGTATAAATGTATTGAAGCATATTAAAAATAATACAACATTGATAAACAGGTATTGACATAAGTATACAGAATATTCTGTATTATTTGGTAAAACAAAAACAATAGAATTTCTTATTGCATTGAAATGTGTCCCTGTATACTACAAACAACAGTACAATTAGAGATAAAAACAGTAAAACGTAACAAGCGGTATCAATTGTAAACAAAAGACTTGTAGTTAGATGCAACATAATGCTCACTTTATCAATTTAGAATTTTTTTTAATTTCGACATCACTTTGTAACAAAGTTTTAAAACTGAAATTATTTTACTCATGTATGAAAGAGACCATGACTGAATGACCAAGAATTTTATATGAACTTTTTATTAAAATACTGTATTAATTACATATATTCATAAACATATGACTATATAAGTATAGAATAGAGGCATCCGCATTTTTTCAAAAAATGTTTTGGTTTCAAATATTACCCCTTGTAACATGATATATACTGGTGTTAAAAAATATTCAGAAGTATATATATAATTATGCGTAAAAGATCATAACACTTGTCTAAGAAGGCACATATCACAACAAAAATGCGATATCACTTTTGACGTTTTACAATCGTAATACAATCAAAGTCAAAACTATTGTTATCAAAAGCAGACCATATATACAAAATAGATTATACAATGATTGGAATGATGGTTGTTGTGATTCTTTGTTCTACTGTGCTATTGTTTATATAATATATTAACAAATAACTGACATGAGAAAATCACTAGTCTCTATTTAGATGCATCATTATTACCAATATGAGAAATTCACTCATTTGCAAAACCGATACCTTTAAACTAATTATAATTGGAATTTTGTCTTTCCTAACAGTATTATTATGGAACTTGTAAAAGCAATACGTATGTTTTTACCTATCATTTTATAATTCTTTTTAACATGATTTTTACATTCCTTATTGATCGATAGACATACATAAATAATATGAAGTTATAAAGTAGTGTTTAGAGATATAATATACAATGATAATTTCTTTATTGTCACTTTAAAGAACTTGTGAGTACACACTGTGAAGATGTGTAACGGTTTAACTCTTCTCACTTTAGGTAAACATTCTTCTTTAAAGAAAGTTTTATATAAACTTTACCAGTAATAGGGAAACAAGCTTCCCAAACATAGTTCGTGCATCCTCATATTCAAATTAACCATATTCCTTAAGAATCACCTAAGTTTCTTTATTCTATCTTTAATGAAATAAATTTCAAAAAAAAACATGAGCTTAGTATATAATTTATTTAAAGCATGATACTTTAGGGTTTAGCCTTAAATGTCATTATATGTCTTGAAATATTACTTCTTAACATTTAACAAAATACTGTAATCATCACTATAATATATGGAATTTTATTTCACAAACTATAAAGCAAAATCTATTTATCTGTCAATGAAAAATGAAAAGGTTCAAAGGTATCATCTGGCAAAACTATAATTTTCATATTTTGCATATTTAGAATTTTGGAAGCTATACTCGCACTTTATTCAACATTATAGTTCACATGTTTTTTATCATATATAATTATCACATATAAACTGGTTCTCTGCTGTCACAATCTTTTTGCTGGCACAAATACCATCACACTCTTGTCGCCTTAAAATTAGCATAAAAATCAAGTTTTTAATTCCTTCAGAGCTCTTTGGTTCTGCTTATCTACCACAATCCAAACAACTATGGCCGTAACTATAAGAACAGTGGTTACAATACTAAACAAACTTAATAACACAGATAACTTTGCTCTTTTTTCACCTTTTACAACATTACCATCTCTGTAAAATCTAGCAGCGGAAAGTGATAGGTACATTGCAACAACACCTAATGGAAAATTGAAACATAAACAAACAAGGCAAGCTAGTGGAAGATTTGTATCCGGAACGTAGGTTGTACGTTGTTGTTGATTTGGCTTTTTGTGCTCGGTTGCTTCAGTTGGTGGTGAAAGTGTTGCCTTTTTCGCCTCTTTGCAAGATTTTGATTTTGAAGATCTGCTGTCTTGGTTAGAACTTTCTCCATTCTTTTCGTCCATTTTTCTGCTTCACATTCAGTCTTTTTAAAGTTATGAAACAATTTCACTTACTTTTATAATTGTCTAAATTTGAATCAATTTGAATCGCCATACTTTTCATTTACTTTTTGGATTTTTATTGAAAATATCGTATTAAAATGCCTAAAAATGAAATGTACGATAATTGAAATTATATTGTCTTTAATACTACATCCTGTATAATTTCCAAAATATTTTCATCTTGTTGATCCTGAAAATACAATAATGAAAATATTTTACATGATGCACTTTTCTTGTAATAATCATGAAAACCATGGGACAACAAATAAAAACAGATTACTAACACATTACTAAGTCTAAAAGCGTTTAGAATAAACACTATGCGTGGAACACTCGTCAACATATTTATTTTATTAGTAAGTAAAAACCTTGTATATTCATCACCATCCTACGATCAATTATAAGTACAAAGACGGATGGTTTTAATTAGCCTTTTTACACAGCACACATCCTGTTAATACTATCATCCTGTTTTTGTAACGTCACCTTTTGAATTCTGCGTAACACTTATTTTTAAATTAGCATTTAGTTGCGTTTTAATAGCATGTGTATTATCAAAATCCGTTTATTTCTTACGTTTTACCATGACAAAGTTACCTGTTGGTTCACTTATGCATGAAAACAAAAGAAGAAATTGATGTTTGATTAAACAACTATAATATTTGTTTGGGAAATAAAATGTCTGTAATAATTTTAACCAGTCGTGATTTTAGACGTGAGGTTTTGACATTTTGAAATATTACATATAAACCCCTCGACATGAGATCGTAACCTTAGCTTATAAACTACATGTATAAGCTTATCAACTAATTTTATTGGGATAATTATGTAATTTAGTTTTTACTATTTTTTTTCTAAATACCGACAATTCATATTTAAAGTAATCTCTTTTGAAGTAAATGGATTGCACCTTATACCTGCATATTTAAACAATAAAAGTACAACTTTTATTAAACATGATTGCTGTCATATTATTTATGATTCAAGTAAATATACCTAGTGTGATATGTGTTTTATCTGAATCTATATTATACAATCACGTATCATAAATGTGTCGGTATCCCGCAGCGTGATTGTCATAGATGTTATCCGGACCTCGGCAAATGTGGGTTTTCTCTAGCTAATCCGTAGGTACAGACACACTTTTATCGTTACAGCTTTACGGTGCACTACCCGTCACAATATATTAGTCAACATGTTGCGCTTATTTTCGAAACTGTAACTGAAAAGTTTGTTTTTGCTGAAAAAAAAATTCTTAATTTCGGAGTTAGTCCATACGAGTGATTACAAAAAAAAGTTATTTTTGCCATTTGGCAGATATCATTATAGTATAAAAGTGGTTCGTCAATTTATCTTTTTGAAAAATCATGAATTGTATTAACATGTGGTTGTTTCAGAAGTTTTCCAAAGATATTAAAAATTTCAAACTGTGGAGCAAGGCAAGAATTTTCTTGACAAAAACATACGTCAGTCCAATTTAAAAGTCATAGTGACCTATTCTGAATCAATGTTTACAAATTGCATTAATTTGTTTTCACTGTTTATATAGTTAAAGTAACCTTTAATCAAATATGTAACAGGAAAAACATATCAACTAGGTGTTATAAAAAGTAACATAAAAATTGTATAACTGCCGAATAAATTCTCAGTTTATGTAGCGTTACGTAATTCAGATTATTTCATTCCTTGGCTTTCCGTGAATGACGTTTTATATTATCTCATTTATTCAACAGAAGCTTTCGTTGTGACATGCTTGGCACAGTCTTAAATATAACTATTACATAATTATCTTTATGGCAGAAAATGAGGCATTGGTATGACATTTATTGTAAAGATTAAACAGAGATAATAATATAAATTTCTTGCCAGATTCGTTCTTTACCATTTTAAATCGTTTTGGGACATTTAAAACACATTAATATATTTTACACATTTTATAGAATTAATGCAAAAACAGTCCTCATGAAATACAAAACGTACTCGAAATGTCAAAGCAAGTACTAGCTGATAAGAAAGAAGAATGTCAAAATGCTCAATAATAATTAAATCAATGCAAAGTGGAAGATAAAATATCTCTTTTCTTAACATTGTTTCTTTCAGGCCAGTGTGTAGCAAAGTTAATTCATCTAAGTATAATATGTTAATTTTAAGTTTATCTTACTTTTGTCAGTTTAATATAAAATACATAATTAAATTATAGTTTCTTAACAAACAATGATATGAGAGCATTTGATGTATTCTGATTTAAACAAAAAAACAAATTTATTACGATATGATCTGACGTCAACAATTGCTTTCCAAACAGTTTATTTCTTGTTTAATTCATTCTCAAACTAGTTTATTATATTTTATTTTTATTTATTTCTATTTTTTGATAAATAATGTGTTTTTTAAGAATATTTCTTATTATGAGTGAGTGAGTTGTTATAAAATTATTTTAAGCCAAATAATTTCGACGGAAGGCAATTTGTGATCCAACATAAAATAAGAATTCCATAGTGTCGGACCAAGTCCTAAATACATTTATCAAACACCAAAGACCATTGCGCAATTTAGTATATAAATCTGCTATTATACTTTGAAGTAATACATTGAAAGCAATAATCAAAATTATTTCTGCAAAAATTTATACCCTGGATATTCATCACTATTTCCTATCTTTTTATTTCAGATTCTAATAAAGAAGTTAATGTAGGATTATTTTCAAAATAATGAGAGATCGTCAATAATGTTTTGCAAGTGCTAAAATGTTTGCCTTTGAGAACAAACAAAGTACTTTACGATTACATGCTTGCAGAAAATAACTGATATGAAAAAATACAGAATGTAACGTTATTAACAGATCTACAACACATAATTGTAAACAGTTACACTAAGACAAAATCGAAAACATATATAATATAAAATATCTGGATTTTTTTTGTATCAGGTTGAAATTTCAACAATGTATAATAAATCTTTGCCATAGTTGTAAGCACTTTATGTAGTACAATGTGTTATTTATTGTTTTTAACTTAGAATTAATCTACATTGTTTCAAAACTATTAAATCCAATAACTTGCCATCATATTTCTTTATGGTATATTACTCAAACCAAATTCAACTTTCTGAATAATTATATAATATTTTTAGCAAAAATCATCAGTTTTAAATGACCGCATGTCAGACAACATCATCCATAAAACTCTGTCCCTAACGACCTTAATTATTAAATAAAGATTGAATCATACAACTTAGAAGGAATAATAAGAAACGATTTTCAAAAAGTTTGAAATTCATTTTTCTTATGCTAGGTGTTCGCGTATTGTTATTTTACCGAATGCTTACGTTTTCTAATTGTTACACATTACATCGTTTTCTTTTGCTCAACTTGACTGGTAATTTTATTTGTTGACATCCTTAGATAAAACAACTTATTTTGATCACAAATTTTAATCACAATATATGAAAACATTGAATATGTCAATGCACAGTAAGTTGTATTTATTGTTTTTGTTAAAGGAAAATTGTACTCACAATATCACGATTTCCTGCATGATTAATAAATAATGATTAAATATTCTATTTTTATCAAAATTTGAGCTTGAAACAATTGTAGAATGATATATGTATTTGAAGATGTTGTATGTCATTACAAAACTTTTTTGCCTACTGATATATAATCCTTTACTCAAATTGGTTATCATTACGTTTGGTATGAAAGCTACATGGGTACTTTAATAACATCCAAAATACTGAAAGAAACTGCTATTGTTTTTAAAAATAATTTTCGCTTAAAATTTCTTATTACAATCTTAGTTCTGTTTTTTCCCACTATTTTTCAGATTGAATTAAAATAAAATAAAAGAACTACAGTAGTGACTGCGCATTTTCTCATATATTTATTATGTTAGAATTGAAATAGTGACGAGAACTTAATGCATTTGACAATTGCTTATATAAAAATTAGTTACAATAATATTTTTTTTCCTTTATTATTTCGTTATCGATGAGCATGTACATACCAAAAAAAAAATGTCGTTTTTGTATTCTTAGATTTCATTTTAGTCAATTATCACATGATTGCCTTTAGTTCTGTGTTAACTATTGTCGACGATAACGCATTCATAATATAAAATAAACTTACAATAAAATATTCAAAAGAAAACAACAAAAATAAATTTATGTATTAGTATGGTGACTTTATAAATATTTCATGTTTTCAAAATAGGATATTAATTAATTAACTATTGTTTATTAATATTTTGTGGGTTTTTTTCCACATGCAATCATTCTTTTACCGTTTATTATTATTATAATGCAGCAGTCAGATTTTATATTCTGTTACTCAAAACAATACTATTTTTATATTATTTTATCAACAATGTTATATCTATCATCAATTTTGAGAAGACTATGTCTTCTAAATACTTACACAATATACTGGTACAGTCCATTCTAAGGCATTAAGTAAGGAAATATTAATCCAGAAATAAATTCCCCCGTTTCAAATTTAGTACCCACTATTAAATAATATGTCTTGATTTTCTTGCTTTAGCAATTAACCAAATCACATTAAATGGCTTAATGGTATTTCTTTACAATAATAATTAGTTAATAAAATCCATTAATTACAACACAATGCATAACTACTATACACTATTTATTTCAAATGTAAAGAACAATCTGCTCCCGACTATATACCTTTCAAAAGTGGTATTTTGCTTGTCTACAATTTATCATGCGAGAATGTATAATCCCGGTGTTCTCCATGCATTACTATCCTATTATTGGGTCTGCTTATATAAACTGTTAGAAATGAATGTCAGACAAAGTCAACTGCATTTACGGTCTGGCCAAGACATGTCGGAATGTAACTGTTCCAGTATTTTCATACTTTTGACTTTGTATCATTATCCCAGATTCGCACTGTTGTTTATATGTAATTAGGCTGTCTTGCACGTAAAATAGATTAGAACTCTTTCTATTAAATTTAAACTTATTTTGTGTGTCGTTTGTTATGTTCTTCTTTATCATTTTACCCTATTAGTAGCGGTTATGGTTTGAGTTTATGTTACATATATAAGCTTCAAAGATCCATCAAATTACATAAATGTTTTAAAAACGATGTAATGATATACATAAAATATATAAGGAAACATTAAAAGAATTGGTACAGTCATTTCAGACATGTTTTTCTACCATTGAAATAACGTAATTTAATACCTTCGTAAATGAACTGATATGAAGGATATACCACTGATCATCATTCATCCAAAAACAACACTCCGTAGAGTATAGGCATCTTTTATGTGTGTCTATAATTTTTGTATAGATAGTTCCCGATTTTCACAATATTTACTTTCAAACTGTTTTGGGGGTCAATATTCTTAATTATAATATGAATATAATTTAATTTGACACAATATGAAAGAATCAACATAAAAAAATGATTTACGTGAATGGTCGTTTTCTTTTTCTATATGCAGCAACATATTATTATAGTCTAAATATGTTAAAGATCTTTATCAATTTCATGATGATGATAGAACTATCGTAGATTTTTATCTTATCTCAAGCATATGATTTATTGGGGATAACCTGAAACTGGTGACCAGAGCAGGTAATAATAATTGCTATATGAAAAAATATATATTAAAAAGGTGCGTTTATTCGTCGTAAAGATAATAGGATGTTGTATGTATAGTAATAATCAGTAAAAGACAAACGAAACGTCAGGGGTAATTTGCAGTTATATCACCTCAACGACGTATGCAACATGCGTGCTGTAAATGTGTTTTACATCTGTTGCAATTACAATGCAATTAAAAGCTGGAAATTTTTTACTCCGTTTTGAAAATTAATTATTTCTATTGCGGTAACCGTTTTTAAATTCATTTTAGAGTAAAATAATGATAACAAAGCCAACTTTAGCTGTAACGGCAGAATACATTGTTCTAGTAATTTATGAATGAAAAATCTGCACAAATAATCATTATGGTGCTTCCCTTGATGATCAACAAACAATTCAAGGCTTCTACATCAAGTACATTGCACAAGGTATACAAAATATGAACATCCCCGATGGCTAGGATAACGTTATGGGAATAACGTCTGTACTGAATAACCAACAATTATGACAGCAAGTGTTTGTTCCTAATTTTCTAATATTCTAGATACACAGAAAAGAACTATTCACCTGTAGAACATAACGTTAACTCATTACTTCAATTATTACATCAAATGAGAAACATTGCTCTATCTATTAATGTTAAAGCTAAGGATAATAATTAGTTCGTTTATTACAGATTATGTCAATATGAAACAACATACAGGTCATATGCGGTGATAAAGTCTACAATGTGGCAAGCTATAAATATAATTTTGATCTTTTATCAGTAATATTACGATTCGCTTATCTTTTTCTTTCAATGTATAAAAGACATCGCCTGTTTTCGGTATATATTCTTATATCTAAATTCAAACAAAACGTGATAGGTGAGATAAAAAAATCGGACTTGCCTAAATAAATATCAACATTCAAATTCATCGATGAAGTTATTACATAGATATCTAATTGATTAGTATTGAAGTGAGAAAGATAAAAAAATATGTAAACTATGTCTTAATATTACATCGTTCGCCGCAAAAATGGACAATTCTCTTTGAAAATTTAATTTTCCAACCAAGTTTTAGTACAATGCATATTATCAAATGTTTCTTCTTTAGCTGAAATATAAATTATCTCTCTCTTGAAACCCTACATTTCCATTATCCTAAAAAAGGTGGAACACTTTGTTTTATGGCTACATTTGGTCATTGATAATGTTATTTTATCAGCAATTTGTCCAAAATAATAATCGCGTGGTAAAATTGCATGACTTATTCTATACTTCTTATTGCAATTTACATAATTGCTACAGGATCAGAATTTTTCATTGATAATTTAATTAGGGATTACATGTGAACTAAAATTGCAATATATTCCCTTACTTCTAGATAAAAGCTTATTTCAATTAAGATTTCAACTGAAATTGTTTAACATATGAAGCTCTATATGGATTATATAATATAAAACATTTGAACTTTGTCGTAAGTATTTTATATTTTTAAACATTTATTGTCGTAAAATTCAGTAAATTGTAGAATGAATTGCCGTACGTTTGAAGTTATTTCTACAAGTGATTGAATTATTGATATGCTATTTTAAAATTCAATGATTTGTTGCTTCGGCAAAGTCGTTTAGTCAGGTATTCAATAACATGATATGACAGACTCGCAATCGATAGTTTATAATTCATTTAATAGCTAATGGTCCTATTCAGTTTTGTTGTAAATAGCAAAAATTATCAATAACAGTCTATAATCGATATATTCAAGAATAGTAAATAGTAAACTGCCATAATAATTAAATTCAAGTAAGAATTTATGTGTATAAAAGAAGATATTTTGAAAACATTTATAAAGAGCAAATGTTTAAAATATGACATCAAATCTAACATAATTTATTCATGATTGAGTATTGAACATTAAACAGATTCTCAACTTGTTATGATTATGTAAACTGTTAACACCCTAATGCCTTAAAATCTTTGTGCATTCTGAGTAGATATAAATCGAGACATTTGTGATCTTTATAACGTTACACTAGATCGCAATTGAATCTTTCTTTGCAGAAATGGGATAATTGCCAATTGAAAGGAAAACAAAAACACAAACAAATATCTGCCCTCGGCATTCCTATGAAGTACAAAATAATTTCACGTCACTTGTGTGATGATAAGAAAATTAAAAGTGACTGGTATGATAAACCTTAAAAAATAAAGTACCAAAGAATAACGTGTTGACATTCTACTGTCAAAGAGATATGCCTGTATGAAAAACATTCATTTATTATATACATTATAAAGAATGTCGTATGAATTATAATTAATCACATAGCTTAATGCACATAGTGTATTCCGTTTCATGATAAAAAATGACTTCAACATTTTTATCTGTTATGCCCAGCTGTTCAGAACATCATTACAATTGGTGGTCATTTTGAATCATTTTCATCCGAGAAGTTTGAGCTTTTGTTTTCGTTTATTTTATCGCAATTAAAACCGAGATGAAACCGTCCAACTATGTCGGTCACAGTGGCTGAGTAACATCAGTAGTATCTGTGCAGGTGTCCTATGATCTAAATATAACTGTTAGTTCATAGAAGCTTAAAAGTCTGTACAGCAAATGCCCTTAGCTTTTCAAATAAAATTGATCCTTTTGGCAGGTCACAATTTGCTTCGGGATATTCTGACACAAAATAGCATCAATTGTCTTGACAAGAATAAGCTTTGAGAATTTGGAATACAAGTTTTAGAATTATAACATAATTCTAGACTTTCACTTGCAATATCTCACCAAAATTGATATTGATCTATAAAACCTAAAAGTGAAGTGAACGTGAAGCGTTTGTAATAAAACTTAATATCTATTAGTATACTTCAAGTAGATTAATAGATAGAAAAACAAATATTTATCATTGCAGAACAGGCTTTAAACCAATAATTAGAAAATCGGTAGAAATTTGGGACTTGGAAATCAATAAAACGTTTCAAAACACTTTTTTATTTAAGATTATGGCCCATTAGCTGAAACAATTATTTTCTGTGTGAAATTGTTTGTTGATTAAAAGTCATCGTGTTGCGCAAATTCTTACATACAATGTTAATTTCCGAAGTAAAAAGGCTATAAAATATAACTTGCATACAAGTTTCTAACTGTATCAATATTTCTAATTATGTAAACTTGTGTATACTCCTTAAAAGTACCATAAATTATTGCCATGCAACATAAATATAATTATACAACCTTATAAATAATCACATGTCCAATAAAAAATCATTACTTTACAGCATTATTTTCTTTAACTTTAAAGATGTAATTAAGATTTTGGTACTGGTTTTATAAATCACAAATGTCCTCAGACTAAGCGATTCAATTTACTTTTATATCCATTTACTTTATTGTTATTATTTACGTCAATATTTAAACAATAGAGGATTTTCTTTATTTTGTAATATAATAATGAATTATCAATCGTAACAATATTGTTAGCTTGTTTAATATTGGAAACTATTAACATATTTTTATCACATCTTAATGAGCTGTCCGCGTTTGAACGACTTAGTGTACCAATAGAAACAATCTTTTCATCCAATCTTTTTTTACATTTCCAGAGTCTAAACGTTTTATATATAATGCATATCCTATCACATTTAGCCTCGCATTAATTTCAGAATCAAGAATATTTGTCAAATGCATAGCGTATGCATACAGGTTCATTTTAATTAATATCTGTAACAAATGAATATGTATTCAGTTCAGCTTCCTTTTCATTTTCATAGTCCAAGACCTCTTATCAATTCCTTATTGTACTAAAAGTAACAAATTCTGTCAAAACGTCAAAAATTTTGGTTTGAGATAACGAGATTTGCATATTTAAAAGATTTTTTAATACAATTAGCAAATGCAAATAGCATACCAGGTAAAAAAAGAGGTCAGCTAAAAGGATGTCATTATAAATTGTGCAATGGATATTTAATTTTATTGAATTCGTACACAGTTGTAAAACCTATTTCATACAAAGCGTATGCCTCTTAAAGTATAAGTTGGACAGAAAGTTACTTGTCCAACAGAATACAGTATTCTTATAAATAATGCATGATAAACCTCATATAATCTTACTTCTTGTTTTACAATGCTATTTTCATATGCTAATTGTATTCAAAATGAACCTTGAAAATATGAAAGTCTTTTAATGCTAACTCAAAAGAAATGAAGATAC